CCCCCCCCTCCCATATCTTTTCAAGTTTCAAAATATATTTGATTTCTATTTCTAGTAAACTCTTCATTATTCGTTTAAATTTATATTATGCTCGTTCACTTTTACTTGGCATATATACTAAAAATAGATTTTCATTTTTATTTGTCACTTTACACATATCAAGAGAATTTTTTTTCCCTGTTATACCCACAATATTTATTACTCATTTTAAATTATTTTCTCAAAGCCAATAAAATATGCATCAATTAATATGGGTATCATGATAAATTGTGCACTTAATTTATTATTTTTAAAGGTGCGTGAAAAATTAAAAGAAGGGTAGTATGCATTGTGGTTAAGCTAAGTGACAAACTAAAATGTTTGGCAATTTTAGGACGACATTAATAATTAGAAATTATAAATGGAATCATAATTAATAGAAGTAGTATAATGAAGGGTTGGGATCTGCTCCAGTAGCTTAGCTCCAGTTATTTTCAATACTCTCTCCGGTCCAAAATATGTGATTTTTTGGCCTTTTTCTTGTGGTCTAAAATAAGTGATTTTTTCAGATTTCAAGAATGAATTAATAATTTTTTTCCTACATTGTCCTTGGAGTAAATAGTGTTGCAATATGTGTTAGGAGTTTATGTGGGATAATAAAGGTTAATATGGTCAATTCCATTGCTAATTAATGCTAAAAGGTGAATTTCTTAATCTGTGTGAAAACATCCAAAAAATCACTTATTTTGGACCGGAGGGAGTAGTTGCTTAAGATCTTGCCAACTCATCTAAAAAGAATCTGACGGTTCTAATTTATTATACTAGAAAGCAAAATCAACTTCTCTCCCACTTTCAAGTTTCAACTCTTCTGTCATTTGGGAGTCTTTCATAGCTCTAAAAACTTACACTATGATTATACCAGCTGTTGTTTTCTTCTTTCTTTACTNTTAAAAAAAAATTCAAGTAGCACATTTCTTTACATAAAATACAAAAATATTTAAAAAAGTCACTTGGCTTAACATTATGTAAAGTTAATATGTATTAGTTTTAAAAAGATATTAATTAACATTATTTAAAGTTAATACGTACTCACTATTTTGGTGGTGGATTTGATTGGAGAAATAAACAAAAATCCCACATTCAAAGGGAATGATTATCAATATTTATGATAAATAATATTGATAATTTTATCATATTCTTTAATTGATATATTGATTTCTTAACAAAAAATGAACCTTACCAATACCATACAAAAAATATTCTATATTATATTAAAAGGAGAGTAGTATGCATTGTGGTTAAGCCAAGTGGCAAGCTAAAATGAAGCCACTTGGCAATTATAGGACAACATTAATTATTAAAAATTATAAATGGAAACATAATTAAGGGAAGTAGTTTAATGAATCTTATACATAACCTAAATATATCTTAGACAAATCTAATATCTCTCTCTCTCTTATATATATATATATATATGTGTATATATATATATATATATATATATATATATTGATCCACTCATAGATTTTCTTCTATATTAGCTAGAAATATGGAGGTAAAAAATTAATTAAAGACTATAATAAAAAAAATAAAAAATATAGAAAGACGTTAATTGAGATAACCTATAACTATTTATACTTTGGAGCAAGTTAAAATATAAAATAAAACAAAAATTTACTTAAGATATTAAAGATTTATTGTGCTTAAAACTTAAATAAATTCAAGATCCAAAATAAGATCTTATGTAAAGTGTACAAATTATTTATAAGGTAAGAAAAAAATTAAATAATCAGTAAACTATTTTTAATAACAAGAACAATAAAGTCATATTAATATTGATAAACGGGGCAACTAATATTTCATACATAAATATTACTACAACATTCAGATATAATTTGTTCAAACAATTGATAAAATATTTTTTTACGATTAATATTTAAATTGAGTGCAGTTAGTTTAAGTCTGAAAGCATAACATATTTTTTTTTTGAAAATGCGGTCCAATTTAGGAAATAGAATGTTCAATATTGTTTGAATTTGAGATGAATTTTTTTTAAATTTTTATCTATATTTATTAGAATGAGTGTGGTAGAAACATATATATTAAATTCAAACAAGCTAATAAAAATACACATGACGATGTAATAATAATATAATATCAAAAATAAAGAATACATAGAGGAAAAATAAAAACTCAGATTTTTTATCATAGAGAAAAAGGGTAAAAATTATTTAAATTGTAGATGAGTCCTTTTTTTACATTACGATAAGAAAAGTCATAATATGGATAAGTCCACGTAACTCAAGTATAATAGATAAAATCAAAAATTAACAATATTGAATAAAAAAATTAAAGATAATGTAAGGATATTTAAATCATAAGTTTAAAAAATAAAATTAAGTGAATATACAGTACTTAAAAATATTATAAAAATTTAAATAATTTAAATTTTTGAGCAATATTTTTAAAACAAAATAAATGTTTATTTTATGATTAAAAATTATATATTTATCTATGTTATATTAAAATTGAGCATCAAGGACGAAGAAGGTAGAGTTTTGTTGGATGAGAGGCTTATCCGTCAGAGATGGTGGACCTACTTCCATAGTCTCTTGAACGAGGAGGGGGACAGGAGCATTGTACTAGGTGATTTGGAATTCTCCGGGAGTCATTGTGACTTTGGGTATTGTAGGCGGATTAGAGTTGATAAAGTTGAGGGTGCTATGCGTAAGATGAGCAGGGGCAAAGCGACAGGACCGGATGAAATCCCGGTAGAGTTTTGGAAGAATGTGGGCAAAGCGGGCTTGGAGTGGCTCACTAGGTTATTTAATGTCATTTTTAGAACGAAGAAGATGCCCGAAGAGTGGAGGTGGAGCACGATGGTTCCTGTATACAAGAACAAGGGTGATATTCAAAATTGCAATAATTATCGGGGTATCAAGCTGCTTAGCTATACTATGAAAGTTTGGGAGAGAGTGGTAGAGCTAAAGACGAGAAGGAGCGTGACTATTTTCGAGAACCAATTTGGGTTTTATGCCGGGGCGTTCGACTACAGAAGCCATCTACCTTGTTAGGAGATTGATGGAGCAGTATAGGGAGAGAAAGAAGGACTTGCATTTGGTGTTCATCGACTTAGAAAAGGCGTACGATAAAGTTCCGAGGGAGGTTTTCTGGAGATGTTTAGAGGCTAGAGGTGTTCCTATTGCCTATATTAGATTGATTAAGGACATGTATGATGGAGTAAATACTCGAGTGAGGACGGTGGAGGAGGGGGGGAGGGGGGGACTCGGACCCTTTTCCGGTTATGATGGGGTTGCATCAGGGGTCAGCACTAAGCCCATTTTTGTTTGCTTTGGTGATGGACGTATTGACGCGCCACATCCAAGGGGAGGTGCCGTGGTGCATGCTATTTGCAAATGATATTGTATTGATTGATGAGACACGAGAAGGTGTGAACACGCAATTAGAGGTATGGAGGTAGACCCTGGAATCGAAGGGTTTCAAGTTGAGCAGGACCAAGACAAAATACTTGGAGTGTAAGTTCAGCGGCGGGACTTTAGGAGGGGAAGGGGAGGTGAGACTGGACTCGCAGGTCATCCCTAGAAAAGGGAGTTTTAAGTACCTCGGGTCTATTATTCAGGGGGATGGGGAGATTGATGGAGATGTCAGACATCGTATTGGGGCGGGATGGATGAAATGGAGACTCGCTTCCGGTGTTTTGTGTGACAAGAAGGTGCCACCGAAACATAAGGGTAAGTTCTACAAAATGGTGGTCAGACCAACGATGTTGTATGGGGCTGAGTGTTGGCCAGTCAAGATTACTCATGTACAAAAGATGAAGGTAGCAGAGATGAGGATGCTGAGGTGGATGTGCGGGTACACCAGGTTAGATAAGATCAGACATGAGGTTATTCGCGATAAGGTAGGGTGGCCTCTATTGATGACAAGATGCGGGAAGCGCAGCTTAGGTGGTTTGGTCATGTGAGGAGGAGGAACACAGACGCCCCGGTGAGGAGGTGTGAGAGGTTGACATTGGAGGGCCTACGGAGAGGCAGAGGTAGGCCAAAGAAGAGGTGGGGAGAAG